GCATTTGCTATTAAAATAGCAATGAATAAGACATAAGATCCAAAAATATATGGCTTTAAGTACAATCTCATCCCCCTTTTCTGGACAGTTTCTGGGAATCTTAGACAATTTTAAAATCTTTCCTACCAGGATATGTCTGAACACAAATTTCCCACTGGAGGGGAGGTGCTGGATTTTGCCCTGTTGGGAACAGATTGGGTCATGTGAACAAGTGGGTAAGGGAACATCCTCCTTTGATTCTGCCTTAATGTAAATACATTTCCCTAAGGCCACAGACCACACACACCCCAACCTTATGAACAAATATTTGCCTTTCTATGACTGCAGATATTGAGACCTTTCTTTAATCTCTTAAATGGTTTACAGTAATGATACTGAAGTTTCCTACTTTCCTGGAATCCTACTTCCCAGATGCTTCTTGGATACCATTCTGTAACCACATTAATGTTTATATGGAACCCATAGAATATATATCTTCAAAACTCACACAAATCCTATATAGAACTATTATAAAGACAAAGAATTGTAATGCCCATTTGAGAAGGCCATACCTACATATAGGCATGTCTTACTGTTTTCACTCTTTAAAAAACCTATACTCATGCTCTGGGGAGTGTCTTTTGCTTAACTCTCATGCTTAAAATGTATATGAAAGTATCTTATTTAAACCTTTCCCAGTAGGATAACACTGAATACCTCCCTATACATAATTTGTGTCCAGGCATCTAAGTCTAGGAGAATTTTATGTATATATATGCACATGAATACAATGTATATGTATATGATATATATCTATAGCTACATCATCTATATCTATACTATCTAATATGTGTGTCTGTTTCTATATGTATTTCATCTATATCTGTATCTATATCTATATCTGTATTTCTATCTATATCTATATTCATATCTATCTATATCCAGTCAGATAGATGTTGTGAATAAGCCAATGAAGGCAAATCTGTCCTTGAATTCACCTGTTAATAAAAAACCCTGTTCCCATCACATGATGAGGCACAAAAAAAGTGAATTTCAGTCTCATTTGGAAGTTCAGCTAGAAAAGAAGATATTTTGACAGTGAAGACTTTTTGCCCACAGATAAAATGAACTTTTTACTCCATTGCCTTCTCCATCTCTTAATGCTTCATATCTGAACACAAGAATCAGGTAACACTATTTCTTTTATAGATGTTTAGCTGGAAGTCAATGACAAATAAACACCAGGACACAGGCCATTTACTTTTACCCCAGTAGGTAAAAAAGAATGTATGCTAGGTTCTGTGTATTAATCATATACCTATATAATCACTCAGGTAGCAAATCATTTAATGTGATTATATTTGAAACAATGACTATAAAAATGGGAGAAATGAAAGAATGAAGGCAGGCAAACAGCTTCTGAGGTATGTGCAACTTGCTCAAACTACATAGTTTCCTACACATCTGTTTTATGTAACTATAAAGATATAGTGGACCTACTAGGTGCAAAGGATCTCCTCACAACATCTGTCTGTTTCTTTGAATTATGCCTGTGCTCACAGTCAAACAGCATACATACCTTTTAATGTTAAGATTGGCTTCTTGTGAGGCTCTTAATGGTCATTAAGACTTTTTTATTATGTGGGCAAGCCTATACATAATTTGTTTTATGGATTTCTCTATCACTAAAAGCTAATCCAAGAGTGCAACAAATATTGATTTATTATTTTCTGCTCATCCTGAATGACTGAATGACAGATATTTATTCCATCAGTTTTCCTCAAGTTAAGGCAATAACTAATGTCCTTTAAAAAATTGGAAGAGGCGTCTAGAGAGGTGGCTTGGTGGGTAAGAGTTAAGAGACCCAATTATGTTCCCAGCACCTACACCAGGAGGCTCACAAACACCTGTAAATCCAGCTCCAAATCCTCTTCTACCCTTTGTGGGTCCCTGCACTCAAGGGCACATATGTGCAGTGACCAACCTAGATAAATATATAGAATAAGTCTAAAAACTAGAATTCAAAAGAAGAAACAACAATGAACATGTTAAACTCAAAAGAGGGGCTTAGGTTTGATGATAAAGCTTCTGCTTAGCATGAGTGGATCCTGGGAAGAATAATACAGAAATAAACAAAATGCATAACGAGGAAGACTTCTGTCATGAAATACAGACTATAAAGGAGAAGAGAACCTTGGAGAAAATGATGAAGCAAAGCAATACAGATACTGTTATGCAATCAGTGATGGACAGCTTCGTTGTTACTGATGGACAGCTTCGTTGTTACTTTTTTTGTGTTGCCAGTTTTGGTTTTCAGGCGTATTGTTCAATTATTCCCTGAAGGCAAAGACCACACTACCTGTGGAAACTAAAATGTTTGTGGTGATTTTTAATTGTCAGGTGACCTCAGATTCTCATTTTATTCATCCCTGTGAGTCAGGTAATGTTAAGCCTATTTCTGAGTCCTCCTCCTCCTCTGGCTACTTCTTTTTTCCCCCCATATTTCTCCTTTTATATATTCTCTCTGCCTGTCAGCCCTGCCTATCCTTTCTCCTGCCTTGCTATTGGCCATTTAGTTCTTTAACAGACCATTGGGTGTTTTAGACAGGCACACTAACACAGCTTCACACACCTTAAAATAACATTCTACAAAAGTCTTGTTACAACATTATCCTCAACCCTGGTCCCTGGTCCCTACTTCTGTCTTAGTCATTGTTCTATTGTTATGAAGAGACACCATCACCAAGGCAATTCTTATAAAAGAAAGCATTTAATTGGGGGCTTGCTTACAGTCTCAGAGGTTTAGTCCATTATCTTCATGGCAGGGAGCATGGTAGCATGCAAGCAGACATGGTAGCTGAGAGTTCTACATCCGGATCCACAGGCAGCAGGAAGAGACAGACACTGGGCCTGGCTTGAACTTTTGATAGCTCAAACAGCACCTTCAGTGACACACTTACTCCAACAAGGCCACACCTACTCCTGTAAGGCCACACCTCTTAGTTTCCCTAAGTAATCTGACTCCCTGGGGACCAAATGTTCAAATATATGAGCCTATGGTGGCCATTTTTATTCAAACTCCCACATTGTCCTTATCCTAGCTCCTGACACTATGGGTTTATTTTACCTGTTGATAACTTTAAAAATAATACATGTCCATTTAGTATCTATTTATTTGTTTCTGGTTCTTTAAATATATCGGTAGGATTTATCCACAATATTAGAGGAAATACAGTTTATTAAATCTCATTTTGAATGAGCTTCTTTGTGTAGTACTGTAATTTGTGCAATCTATTATTTTTTAACATATTTTATTATTTATTTGAGAATTTCATATAATGCATTTTGATCATATTTAGCTCCCAATACTCAAATTCCTCTCAGATCCACCTTCACTTTCCCACTCCAGTTTCATGTCCCTTTAAAAGAATAACCTACTGAGTCCAATGTGTTCTGTCCTTATACCCATAAGTATGGGCCCATTCACTGCAATATGGTTCAAAATATATTCTTTTTTTTTGGTTTTTTTTTCGAGACAGGGTTTCTCTGTGTAGCTTTGCGCCTTTCCTGGAACTCGCTTTGGAGACCAGGCTGGCCTCGAACTCACAGAGATCCGCCTGGCTCTGCCTCAAAATATATTCTTAATTGGCAGTTTTGTTTTGATCATGACAAATAATGTTCATATGAATATCTTTTTTTTAATGTTTCTTTTTTTTTAAATTTATTTTGCAATACAATTCAGTTCTACATATCAGCCACGGATTCCCTTGTTCTCCCCCCTCCCGTCCCCCTCACCTTCCCCCCAACCCCCCCCCCCCATTCCCATCTCCTCCAGGGCAAAGCCTTCCCCACAGACTGAGGTCAACCTGGTAGACTCAGTCCAGGTAGGTCTAGTCCCCTCCTCCCAGGCCGAGCCAAACAATCCTGCATAGGCCCCAGGTTTCAAACAGCCAACTCATGCAATGAGCACAGGACCCGGTCCCACTGCCTGGATGCCTCCCAAACAGATCAAGCCAATCAACTGTCTCACCCATTCGGAGGGCCTGATCCAGTGGGGACCCCTCAGCCATTGGTTCATAGTTCATGTGTTTCCATTTCATATGAATATCTTTATTTGTGTTTTTAGAGAATATATTCATGCACTTCTATGAGGTTTATATTACGAGTAGAATTACTTCTTGTAGAGAATGCTATGTTCAGTGATAACACCAAGGGTTTCCACTATGTACCCAGCAGAATTTACACTGCCTTCAGCAGTGAATGTGAGATATGTTGTTTCTGCACATTCTTAGACTTGACATCATTTGCCTTCCATTTTAGACATCTGGTGCACATGTAGTCCTCAGTTTAACCTGTATTTTCTTGATGAACAAGTTGACCACTTTAAGTAAGTACATGAACAATCCAGCCAGGTGTGGAATAATATATACTTTATGGTACATATGTACATATATACATTAGTAATATGATATAGGCTTAGTCATATATATATGATAAGTATATATACATATGCATATATTGCCTTATATTTAATTTAGAGTTCTTAATTTTTACCATTAGTAAGTATGTATTAAGTAATATGTGTAAGAAACCATTTTAGAAACTAGATATTCAAAGTGGAAGAACATATTGTAGTTCTCTTTCTTCTCTTTGTCTTTGTCTCTGTCTCTGTGTCTCTGTGTTTGTCTGTCTGTCTGTCTCTGTCTTTCTCTCTTCTACCTCTGAGAGTCCAATACAGGGCCTTGAATGTGCCAGGCCCTGCACATTCAATGTGTATCATTCTACCACTGTTAATGTACATAGAATCTCTAGAATTTTTCCTCTTTATTGAGACATCATCTCAACTATGTGTCATAGGTTGGTCTGGGATGCACAAACCTCCTTCCTCAGTCTGGAGTGTATCATCACCCATGCCTCATTTTTTTTTATTGAGCAGAAGAGGCAACACAATGGTAATCATAAGGCAGGTAGACAAGAGCTACTTTAATAGTCTAAGTATGGAAGTATATATCTCTTAACAACAAACCTCATTTTCAGAGTCTTCACAGACTTCACAGATAAAGCATAACAATTATGAGACAGCTGTCCTAGGAAGAGACGTGACCATCTTCTGCAACTTGACAAGTCTGGCAAATGTTGAGCAAATCACCTGGCAGAAAATTCAAGGCTCTTTGCTTCAAAATATTGGCACTTACAGTCATAAATATGGAGAAAATATTCTTCCCCCATATGTAAACAGGCTGCACTGCAAGATCCTGGAACCCAGTGCCTCCTTCATAACTATCCAAGGAGTGACATTTGAAGATGAAGCCTGCTACAAGTGTCTGTTCAACACCTTTCCACATGGCAGCCATGGAGAACAAACCTGCCTGAACATTCTAAGTATATAACCCTTTCTCTAGGGTCCTGCAATGGGGGTAGACAGTGTTGAGTTATAGTGTTTAAGGACATTGTCCAGAGAAAGGAAGTTAGATGTTGAAAAACTGATGTTGATGAGTCCAAGTTACTTAGAGGAGAAAATGATGGAGGCCAATGGAGATTGTGTGCTGAGGCAGAATCTTCTCCCACCTCATATCACTTCTTTACATTACACTACACTGGTTTCCATTAAGTGGAAAAAACCCAGGAAGAGCATTAGAATTTTGTTACTAAAGCATGGAGAGGATATGAGAGAAGAGATATCAGGGAAGAGAAAAGAAAGGTGAAGCCTGAGGGAATTAGGGTTCCCCAATCTTCAAATAACCAATATGTCCCAGTAGTAGTGAGAACACCAGAGTTCCTTATTGTGCTGCTGTGAAGTGCTGGGGGTGTGTAATATAATGTATAGATGCATGGAAGTTGAGACAGCAGTCAGTGAACAGAGGAAGAGGTATTGTAAGTTTAATGACATGTAAGGGGAGGCATCCAAGAGGGATATGTTTTCAGCATTAATGTGTCATATGAAAACTGGGAAAACACCATTCTTTAGCAGCAGAGGATTTGGTAGGACATACCATTGTATGAATTTTGTTTCCCTCTCTTGCCTCAGCTGTATCTGAATTATCAACTGAACTCTATCCTGTTCCTGGCTCTGAAGATCTCCTCAACCTCCATTGTTCAGCTGTGGGAAAGCCTGCTCCTAGCATCTCCATTTACCCTTCACAAGCCCTAATGCCCACACAAGAAGAATACTTTACTAAGAACCCAAATACCACAGTGACCGTCACTAAAATACACAACGTCTCTTTGAAAACTGTGAGGTCCTTGAATCTTCGAGACCTAGTTGTATCCATGACTCACCCTCTAAGAAACGAAGAGAAGGTAGTTCCTCTGCCGGTAAATCAAGAAGGTAAGTAGAAGTGACAGAGGATCAAAGGGGACAGCTGGAACTGGGAAAACAACTTAGTCTGTAAAATGCTTGCCATGAGACCATGGAAACTCAAGTTTTAGCACACCACCACCATAAAAAGCCAGGCATGGCTGTGTGTCCTTGTGATCACAGTGCTGGAGAGACAAGGAAGCCAAATCCCTGGGGCTCATTGGCCAGCCAGCCAAGAGCAACCCGGGAGTGCCACAAATTGGACAGCACTTCTTATTGATCTCCGGCTTCCATAGCACATATATTCTCTCTCTCTCTCTCTCTCTCTCTCTCTCTCTCTCTCTCTCTCTCTCACACACACACACACACACACACACACACACACACACACAGACATGGATGTATGTACGCACAGACATACTACACACATGTATACAGATGTGAGAGAAAGAGAGAAAATCGATATTTATCTTTTAAAGGATGTCCAGCTCTCAGACCTCTTCCCAGGGTAGCTAAAAGAATGCCTTCAGAGCAGCGGGGCTTAGAAAAGTTTCTTATCTATAGTAAATTCACAATCGGAGGGTCATTTTCTTTTATTCTTTTTCAGCTCTAATTCTTTACAGCTCTAATTTTTTTTCTAATTTCTAACTCCTACTCGTCTCTAATTTCTTGTACTCCAGTTCTAATTCTTCTCAACTCTAATTCCTAGCCCCCTTCTCTACATTGCTACATACACATTTTTAGCAGGACACTCTTTGCAATAATTACAAGGTTATGTCTCAAGGTCATAGTACATTCCCCGAGAGATGATAAGGAGCAAAGCCATTTACCATGGCAATGTATACTCTGGAACATGGTGCTTGGCATTTTCCCAGGCAGTGGCTTCTGCAGTTAGCTAGACATAAAACTATTTCTCTCTGGACTTGCTTAATTGAGTATTTGTTATTTGGGACCTAAATATTAAACAGTTAGTTTAAGTTTTATATCATAAACTGAGGTTAGAAGTTTGTATAGAGTGTTAACTTCTAAAAGTTTAGTAGGGAAAGCTGCTGGTCCTGTTATCAGCAGGACCTAGTAGGGGAAGCTGGCAAGCAATTCAGGTCACTTTTGTCTCTGAAGGATTGTGATTCAACAACCCAGACATTTTGTAATTTCCTCCTTGATATAATCTGTAAAAGTCCAACTAGTGATCTATCCGCAGAGACACTACATCTGACCAATATGCCCTGTCAGCTTAGCTAATTATAGAGAACAGGCTTCTAAGTGTCTTACAGTCCATGTGGAACAATAGATCTAGTTATGAAGCATATTCTAGTATATTTTTATACATCAAAATTATACAGCTCAATGAGAAGTCATCTTCTTGACCAGCCACAAATGTATGTGCCCATAAGACTGAGATGCAATTATGAGATTACATATACATATCATATGAAAATGCACGGTAACAGGGAGATACCAGAGCTGTTTTTGCAGAAGTGAAATCACAGATGGAAGCAACAGTTTTCAGTCCCTAAACCTTGCTTGACTGTGTTACCCATCAAAGAATCATTCTTCTGGTGGGTTGACATCTGAATTATCAGTTGCTGTTAGCTGTATTTGCATCATGGCTTGCAATAGCTCATGACAGTCTTCTTAAAAAAATCTACTGTAAGATGTATCGCTAAATGGTCTTATTAATAAAAAAAAAAGTGCCAGATATTGGGGAGAAAGCTGAAAGATCAGAGAAGCAGAAAGAAGCCAGCCATGTTCTTACTGCTAGGAAATCCTCAGCCCAAGAGAGAGCTACTTCCTGTATACTCACAGCTATATACCTTTGTGTGCCCTGCCATATCACTTCCTCTCTCCACCCAGATAAATCATTTCCTCTTTCTGCACAGCTCTATCACTTCCTGTCTGTCTGTACAGACCTCCAGACCTCTATGGTAAACTAGTGCTGGGATTAAAGGCATGTGCCACCATGCCTGGCTATGTTCCCAGTGTGGCCTTGAACTCACAGAGATCTGGATGGCTCTCTGCCTCCCAAATGCTAGGATTAAAGGTGTTTGTTACCACTGCCTAAACTCTGTGTTTAATATAGTGGTTGGCTTTTTCCTCTAATCCCCAGATAATCTTTATTGGGGTGCACAAATAAAATATCACCACAATCTGCTATAAGAAATATTTGTATAAATCAGCTATTTTTGAAGAAGTAAACCAATATAATGTACATGCGTGATTAAGAAATCGAACAATGAAACCAAGTGTAGTGTCCCACGTCTTTAATTCCAGCACTTAGGAAGCAGAGGCACACAAATCTCTGTGAATTTTGGGCCAGCCTGGTCTATATAAAGAGTTCCAGGACAGCTAGCGCTATACAGTGGTACCCTGTCTTGAGAAAACAAACAGGCAACAACAAAGTCAAACAATGCTGACACTCTCCACTCTAACTTTCCTGCTGTGGCAGAGGGTAGAGATTCCCTTTCTTACGGATTCCCTTTGTCTTACTTCCTATTTCTTGTCATTTATACTTTTCTGATGAATTTTTCTCCTACACAGAGAATTCTTTTTCATTTTCCTTTAGTTGAGGCTTGCAGATAGACATTTCAATTTTTTATCACATACTATCATTATGTCTTAAGGAACATTTCCATAACACTTTAATTCATGTTAGGTAGTTTTTGTTCTTTGCATCAACTTGGTGATAACCATTGACTTTTCTTCATTTTTCAATTTAATTTTTAAATCAGCATATAATGTGCTATATAATATAATACATTTTCAAACATTTCAAAAATTCAAGAGTGAATTTTTGTGGTTTCCCTTCTTCCCATTTTCTGCATGCCCTTGCCACCCCATCCCTCCTGCCTTAGAGCCTCCCACTCCCGGTTGATTTTCCCTCTTCCATGACTCATGTGTCCTGTGTCCATACCCCTGATCCTAGCTTATTACCAAATACTGTTACTCTCTCTCAGTCTCCTTTTGCAGTTTTTTTTACTTTATCCACACTTAGTCTTGTTTACACACACACACACACACACACAGAGAGAGAGAGAGAGAGAGAGAGAGAGAGAGAGAGAGAGAGAGAGAGAGAGAGAGGGGGGGGGGGGGCTACAATCTATATATGATGCAGAACATGTAGGTTTTGTTATTCTGAATTTGGCTTTACCTTGCTTTCCAGACCCATCTTTTTTTTAACAAATTTAATTTTTATTTACAACTGAATAATATTACCTTGTGTGTATATACCACATTTTTATTAGTCATTCATCTGTTGATAGACAGCTAGGCTATGAATGTAGTAGCAATATGCATGGATGTTCAAGTGCTTCTATGGTAGAATCTGGAGTCCTTTGGAAGTATATAGCTGAATCATTTGGTAATTATCTTTTTAAATATTTGTGGTGCCTCCAAACCAATGTCCATAGTATCTGTATTAATTTGCAACCCCATTAGCAGTGAGTAAGCATTCCTCTTTCTCCCACATCCTCTTAAACAGCTGTTGTCCTTTTTCTTAATAGTCCTCTGACTGGGGTGAAGTGGTGTCTCAGAGTAGTTTTAATTTGCATTTCCCTGATGACTACAGACATTGAGTACTTTTAAAATTTGTTACTGGAGGGCTACAAAGATGACTCAGTGGTTCTGTGAATTGGCTGTCCTTCCAGAGGATGGGATTGGAGTCCTAGAATCTATATGGCAGCTAAGAACTCTCTGCAATTCCAGTTCTAGGGGATCTGATGCCATCTTTTGGCTTCTGTGGGCACTACACACATACAGTGTACAAATACATGTTCAGGCAAGCTACACATACATATAAACTAATCATAAATCTAATCTCAAGAAAAACTAATATATGTGTCTTAGTTTTGGTTTCTATTGCTGTGAAGAGACACCATGATCACAGCAACTTTTAGGAAAACATTAAATTGGGGCTGGCTTACAGTCCAGAGGTTCAGTCCATTATCCTCATGGTGGGAAACACAGCAGAATGCAGGCAGCCATAGTGCTGGAGAGGTAACTGAGAGTTCTATATCTTCATCTTCAGGCAGCAGGAGACTGTATCACACTAGGTGTATTGAGCATATGGGACCTGCCCCCACAATGACACATTTCCTCCAACAAGGCCACACCCTCTAATAGTGCCACTTATTATGGGCCAAACATATGAACACATGAGTCTATGGGGGTCACACCTATTCAAACCACCACATTTCACTCCCTGGCCCCCATAAGCTTGTAGCCATAACTTAACATAGAAATGCATTGTCTAACTTCAAATGTCCCCATAGTCTATAACAGTCCCAAACTTGTTTCTAATTCTAAAGTCTCTTCTGAGACTCATGCAATCTCTTATCTGGAATCCCCTGTAAATTCAAAATAAAAAAGCAGACCACATACTTCCAACATATAATGCCACAGGATATACATTACCATTCCAAAACACAGGGAAAAGGAGCATAGTGAGGAAATATTGGACCAAAGCAAGACCGAAAACCAGCTGCACAATCTCCACGTCTGATGTCAAAATGCTCTTTCGAGCTCCAACTTCTTTCAGCTTTGTTGGCAACAACACTCTCTTTTCACTTGGGCTGATTCCACTCGCTGTTAACAGTCTTCCTTGACAGGTATCCCATGACTCTGACATCTCTAACATCTTGGGGTTTTCAACACAATCCAAGCTTCACCTTCACAGCTTCAAGCAATGGCCTCTGTATGCTTCCATTCAAAGACACTCCTGACACTTGCCTGGCCTCAACAGCTTTCCTTAGTTGAGAAGGGAGACTCCATAACTCCTTTCTTCTATCCTTTACTCCAAAGCCAGAACCATGTGGCTTTTCTAATCCATAGTCCCACAGTCCATATTCCTTCAACCAAAGCATGGTCAGGCCTATCACAGCAATACTCCAGTTCCTGGTACCAACTTTTGTCTTTGTTAGGGTTTCTATTGTGAAGAATCACAATGGCCATGCAACTCCTATAAAGGAAAACATTTAATTGGGTGGCTTAGGTTTTCAGAGGTTTAGTTCATTATCATCAAGGCTGGGCATGAT